TTTTCTGTCCCAACTGCCTGCTCCCAAATAACTGACACAGAGGCTTACAAATACTCAACCAATAGCTCAAGCTTGTTACTAGTCAACTCTCATACTTAAATTAACCCATATTTCTTATCTATGCTTTACCACACGACTCATGGCTTGTTGCCTCATTTTCTATACATCCTGCTTCCTCGGCAGCTGGCTGGCATCTCTCTGACTCCACCCTTCTTCCTCCCAAAGTCCTCTGTGTCTGGATGTCCTGCCTATACTTCCTGCCTGGCTACCCGCCTGTCAGCTTTTTATTAACCAACGAGAGCAATATATATTCACAGTGTACAGAAGGATTATTCCACAGCAATGGGTCAATCCAGTTTTCACTCCTGGTGCTGGGTCTTGATCCAGCCTTGGCCATGCTGGCTAGGCTCATGGTGAGGAAAGGATGTTGCCAAGGCAAACCTTAAGTATGCAAACCTGAAGCTGGGAGCCATGTCAGCTCGCACAGGCACCTGTGGTGGGCACCTTGCTTGGGTCTTTCCCCTTCATCAATGGTTGATTAAGCCACTAGCAGGCTAACTCATCAGTTCTGAGGTGTTACATATTGACATTGTGTGTGTGTGTGTGTGTGTGTGTGTGTGTGTGTGTGTGTGTGTGTGTGTGTGTATCAACCTATAGTTGCTGAACTCACCCATCTCTGAGACCGGATGTGTGTCTCAGTGGTAGAACACTTGATTACTATGCACAGGTCCTGGATTCAATCTCCAGTATTGCTAACAAACAGAAAGGCAGACAAGCAAACAAATGAATAAATGAAATAAACACTCGAGGACCTTTAAGAGTAAGCCCCCGGGAATGTGCAGTGGGAGCGGAAAACAAACATGTGAATGATGCTCCTCGTGCAAATGTGCAAAAGGCCTCTTCACTTTTCTTTGAGAGTAGAGAAACCTCTAAGCAAGGACAGCACAGCATCCTGGACTCCATGCCTGCAGATGGTGTTCCCAGGGGAAACACAAGAGCTGGGACCCTGGAGTGAGGGGAGAGAACGGGGAAGGTGAGCAAGCCCAAGACACCTGGTCACAGACTGTGGGACGATGTCCCGCTCCTGCCCAGACTCTGCCCTTCTGCTGAGCAAGGGATCCCCACTGTTCTGCTTTCCAGGTCCTCCCAGCCTCTCAGGATGTCAGAGGAAAGAGTTTCTGAGTTGGGTCCAGCTTGACTCTTGTTGTGTATGGGGAAATTGAAACTAAGACCAGCCTTTTCCCTCTCCCTGTGATGCCTGGGAAGGCATTGCCTGTGGCACCCAACCCCACAGAGACAGGGGCTTGGCAGACCCTGCTGGGGTTCAGGTAGGGCTTCTGACTGACTTAGGATGGGTGCCTTTCCCCACACACCAGGCCAACATTCAATAGACAAGAGATGAAAGGTTAACAGTCGGTGGTTTTGAGATCCTATGTGTTCTGTTCTTCCCTGCATAGCTTT